CACATCCCCCACCCCCACCCCCACCACAACACCAGAAGCATGATTCGACAAACGGAATTTCACTGAGCACAACGATTGCGATCATTAATAACCATCTGATTGAGGCTGACATTCTTTTTGCCTGCAATTCATACTTTACTATCACTACTTGATATTGTTGTCAGTATTACTGTTTATTAATAATAATGCAAGTGCTATTATTATTAATTATTACTGTTATTATTTGCAGTGTTTTGTCTATTGTCATTGATATCGTTAGTATATTAACATTATTATTGTTATCAGGAATAGTCATAATTTCAACGTCACTCGCGATTTTATCAGTGTGTATTGATTTGTAATCAGTTTCGTTTGATTACTATGTATACATGTGTCTATTGGTAGTCAGTTATCAGTTAATTTAGTCAGCAGAGTTTTGTGAATGTGAATTTGAAAATTGCTTTAATGAAGCGGTCATAATAAATCTAAATGAGATTTAAAAGGATCTCGTCAAAGGAACAATGAACATTAATGTTGAATCGTAAAATCGCTCTTCATAATATTCCTCTTTCTATACGGTTTTCATACCAAAATCGGTGCAATTCGATTTAAAAAAATTCCGATATTTCTGCTCAAATATTACATATTACCTATTCGTTGATGTTTATGTTTGAAAATACTTCAGTTTAGTTCAGATATGTAACAATGAAACTGAAAAGGATTGTTCTCAACAGAGATCGTGAACAACCAAAATATCTAACCTTATTTGCTCGATTGTTGAATCGCAACAGATAGAAGATTGAGGGAAATGAGTAGAGGTTTCTGGTTAGCGAACAGAATCAAAAGTGGTGATATTGGGGGGCTACGTTGGTGAGGGTACTTCAGGTCAGCGATGGTATGATTACGAAACACTGCTGATAGGTAGTTCAGGTATTCGATGAGAGGGGTGTTGAATCTCGAGAGGGGTAGTATGAAGGGAGTGAGTGAAACTGAATGATTCAGTTGATGCAACAGTGATGAGCGCATACCAAAATTGGACATGGCACGGCTTAAATAGGCATTTGAAAAGCGGATATTGGAGAAAAATTTTTGGTTCCTTGATGATTTATTGTTGATAGAAGGATGATTTAGGATATTGAAATTTGAGTGTTGAATGGATGAATACTGAATATACGTTATTGAATATACGTTGTTTGACGAAACAGGATTGAGAGCAATTAAGCGTTTAATTGTTGTAAAGTTCTTTAATGAGGCGTTTGAAGGGTTGTGAAGAAAACGAGAAGATTTCAGTGTTTTGCTCTTCGTTGATATCCTCCTGAATGAGTGTGATTCATGTGAAATGATTAAGGATTTTGGAGAGCTGAGAAACTGCGCGCAGAAAGTTGAGTTTCGAAGAGAGAATTATGATTTTGATTTTCGATGGAATTCTGAATAAGTAGAGTGAAAAATTATTTTTAGAAGAGAAACATTTGAAAAATTCCGTATAAATTTTTGGAATGATACAAAAAAATGTCCAACATTTTCAAGAGTGCAATACCTGACTTTATGGGATGATCGATTAGGTCAACAACAACAAGAACAGGGAAACGAATGAGTTCGATAAAATTTCGGGGGATTTCGAGGGAAAAGAGGAAAAATCAGTGGAAATAATATGCCAAAAGGAGAACATGAATAGATAGATAAGCGAGGGATGAAAAAAGACGGAACTTACAAACGGAATTTGTACGCAACATATGCACTTCATGTGAATGGCGAATGAAGATTTTTAATTTAATTATAACTTATTAGACTTTTTGAGTATACACTCGAATTGGTATTGTTCAATGTTATGAGAAAAATGAGCAAAAAAAGTTGTATTGATGTCGAAATCTGAAAAGGAGTTCACCAAAATAACGACAAATCAATCGCAATGGCATGTACAAATCGCAATTATGTGTGGTGATGTTCTTTAATGGATAGTAATAAAAATTACATTCTATTGAAGCAATTTTGGATATTCGAACGTCAGTCACATCTCTTTCTTGTACAAGAAAATCAGAATGATTATTTGAAGATGGTGGAATTTTTGGTGATTTTAATTTTTTTAGACCAAAAATTTGTGATTTTTGGAAAAGACGAAAANGAGAATTTTTGGAAAAATTTCAATGTTTTAACGAAAGTTTTTATAATTTGAACAAAATGATTAAATTTTCGGATTTGTTGCATTGAATGCGTATGAATTGAATTACTTTTTCCACATGTGTGTCATGGGCGAGCGTATGGTAACGTGGAATTCAAATTTTAAAAGTTTTGATCACAAAAGTATAAAATGAAGGGAAGGGGTACTTCAGGACTTCGGCACCGTATTCTAGCTATTTTGAGAGACGTAATTGTGGTACTGATTATGCAACTGCGATCCCTAAAAAGCTTTCTCAAGCAATCGTCTAAATATTTCTTTTTCTAGTTATACTTCTAAGCGATTTTCGTAATCAAAATAATTTTTCGTTATTTTGATTGTTCACAAACAAACATAAAAAGCGATTTGTTGAGAAACAATTCAAGATGGATGTGTGTGATAAACAGTAATAAAATTGTTCAGTTTCTACCGTCAAAGCCAGCAGCTGATCCTCCAGAAAATGATACCCATCTCAAAAGTGCCTCGTCAATCAGTGTCCAGCTCTCTGATGGAGCGTAAGAAGCGAGATCGTGAAAAAGAGCGTTCAAGACGTTCGTTTCTTTCTTATTTCTTTAAGATTCTTTAAGATGTTCGTTATTTTCTTTAATAATCAGAATCGCTGAATAACTCGACAAAAACATTCGATGGAAGAGGTCGAACGATCTCCGCGATAGCTCAGAGGTAGAGCGCCTAAACGGTAATTGCTAAGTCGTAGGCTCGAGCCCTGCTAGTAGGGCAAAGTTTCAGTGCTCGAAACGCAGTGGTGCACACCAGTGTCGTTGATGTTACCGAGCCTCAGCCAGGCTATCAATTGGCTTTCGTATCTAATTATGTGTTATTATAATAACTATATTTATATATTTAGTAATTATACATACAATTATTTTTTAGTATCTGCAAAACGCAATATTCCACCGGATGCAAAAGAGCGTTACGGTGTAAAATTCCAGACAAAGATTTGTGAACTGATGTTAAGCGATGATCCGACAGCATTAGAGCAACTGCAAGCAATGCACGCTGAAGTAATTGTTATTATCAATATTAATAACTATACTTAATGATCACTATTATTATATCTATCATATTAATGGACCCATAGATACGGTGGGAGGAAGGGGGAGGCAGTTCCAAAAATTTTACGACGTCTGATATTTTGAAGTACCAAATTTTAGATTTTAGGCTCCTTATCACTGCCAACCATGGAAATTTGAACAAGAAAAGGATTGATAGTGGCCGGAACTGTGAACGTTTCCGTTGTCCAAAAATTAAAATGACTCTTACCTGTAAATTTCAAGTTCTGACCGCTAGCCAGAATATTAATGTTGATAATGATAATTATTGTTATTATAAATATTAATTTGCTGTTCATCCATTTTTGCATTATCGTTATATATTATTTCTATTAAAGTGTTTTTTAAATATTAACATTATTTATTATATCACTAAAGAAACAAAGTTCAGTTGTTAGCCTATTATGAAGAGCATAATTTGACGGAGATGTGGCTCTCTGATGATGAGAATGAAGGCAAACAAATGAAGGCTCCAATATCCAAGAAAATGCATCACGACGTGAAAGGTTCCGTATTACATGATTATTTTTCATATTGTTATGTATTTATTTGAATTATCATTATTTTGTGATAATTATTGTTTTTAAGAAAGTAATACAATTTTTAAATGGAATATTCACCAATAATTCAAATTTCCTTGTTTCAGAACAGAGACCAATAAGCTTATCAAGGCTCAAATCAACATCATTAACATCATCGTCCGTTGAAGAAAAAGATAAATTAAAGAACAAAAATGTCAATTCATTATCTATACCGAATATTCTGTATTTTTTTGTTAATTATTATAATCATTAATATTGATAGGCATGGAAAATAACCCATAACAGAAATAATGATTAAGATATCGGCCACGTCCACACCAAGCTCAGCGACGACGCCAGTCTCGCAAGGCAGTAGTCAATCGTCCTCTACAGTAACGTCACAATCGCAGTCTGCCATAACCCCAACCCAAATAACGATCTCTTCAATAATACCACAAATGGATCTAAGTGAAGAGTCTGAAGACGATACCGTCAAAAAGCCGATTATTCCAACCAATAATAAAACGTTTAAGGTTGTTGATTGTTTCCTTCAAATCTGTGCGTGTACCCTTTCACTGTTTTATTGTAATAATAATGATAATGATAATAATAATCAACATTTAAGTTATGCGATGTGTGCAGTAACTCGTCGAGTATGCCTACAAACACTCTGTTAGAGTGTGAGGACTGTGGCAAGGGTATCCATCAGAAGTGCAATCGACCCGAAATAACTGCCGCACAAGCCAGAGATCCACGATTCTTGTTCGTTTGTTGTAACTGTAAGGATCGCGATATTAAGGTTCGTTTCTTTATTTTTGTGATTATGAGTAACTTTGCTATTGTTATTGGTATTGATGATATCGTATTATTGTTATTGTGATTATTATTATTATTACTATTGTTATCATTCAATGTGATAATTTGATTATTTTGCAATTTGAATGTCTGTCGTCATCGTACAGTTTTGAGTTTCAGGCTGAGAAAAGTGGTTCGAATAATGCAGCATCTGCATCGACAATTCCTTCGACGACAACAAAACCATCGACTTCGGTCGGCTCATTGAAGAAGGTCACATTTTCTTACAAGAAACCTGAACTTTTTTTTCAGGCAAAAGTGAGATTTCCACTAGCAAAATGGAAAAAGGAAAAATGGATTTGCAAAATTTTGTTTATTCAGATGAAATTGTTTGCATTGCAGGAAGATAAAACAACAACAGCGGCAACAATTCAGAAGCAAACAAACGATCTGTCAACAGCTTGGGCGACTTTTGCAGCCAAAAAAAGTAAGTAATTATTTTGGTTTCTAGGCAGCAAAAAGAGTTTTAAACAATTATCTCGGAGGGGCAATGATAATATGAAATTTTCGAAAATCTTGAAAAATCCAGAAAGTTTTCGTCGAGTAGCTTGATTTTCGATTCATTCGAGGTAATTTTGCGGTTTTCTCATGACAGTGATGCTTGCAGAAAGTATCATTTTTGTAATTTTCAGAAAAACCGATCAGCAGTCAAAATATCGGCAATAGCAGTGCTTCATCATCGGTCACGTCCACAACCAGCACAACCTTCGGAACGCGTGTTGTGGCAATGGGAACGTCGAACACAAAAAGCATTCCGTCATTTATTAATAACAACAATAATAAAGATAAAAAGTGATTGTTGATTGCATTTCGTGCATTTATCCGTTCAGAAATCATTTCATTCCAACAGATTGATTCGTTTGCAAATTGATGTTTACCGAAAGAATTCCGTTTCAGTTTCAATTTCGTTTCGAATCATATGAATCAGTGGTAATTTTCTTCAGTGATTGTTATTGTTGAGTGTTGAATGCATTGTGTTGTTCCGTTCTCGAGAATAAATGTTTTCAAATGAATACTTCACATCAATTGAACACTTGATAAAGCACCTCTAGTGGAAAATTTTTCATTAGATATTAAGTCGTCGTCAAGTTGCAATTGTTTGAGCATGAATCAACAATTGATTCAAACTGTGTCAATGCATCTGAATCAACAATTCAGATCCTCAATTTAAAGACTACTCATTGTCAGATATATAAATGGTATATTCTTGCGTTGGTATATTCGATCCATTCACAGAACCACTTCGTTACAGCATAAGAGTAGACAGCGAAATAGAATCACATAGCCGAGCGATTTGCATCATATCGTTGAGCCGTGTGCATTTGATCTGTTCGATGATCAGGAATATTTTGCAATAATCGAAATATTGCTAGTAACATTTTTAGCTGCTCATTTTGCTGGAATTACCCTACAGCATGATGGTTTCCATCTCAATTAGCGCCGATTTTCACCATCAACAAACATTTTTAACCTGGTGAGCACATAAACTCAGCACAGTTAGCATAAAAGTTGCATTATTCGATTTATCTAACGAATGAAAGCAATTTTCTGAAGCTTTGGTTAATCGTAGGTCGTTCATATGATCAGACTTTATGCACCACGAACGACTTCACGTAACACATCGCCTATTAGCTTCTTGAAGGAACAGCACTGCATAGCAAATGCGCTAGGACTCAACTGAACACATCTTTCATGCAAATCCCAAAGTGTGCGCTAATGTAATCGTATGAGGAAGATAGCCAAGAGAGACAAAGCAAGATTCAATCCGTTCGGAAGAAATTACGACTTGCAATCAGTGAACAAAACTCTGAGTGAACAATTATTTGATGGTATCAAAAGAATACATAAAAAGAATAACACAATGTATGAAATCAGCAGAATAATGATGAAGGAAACGCGTATGAAAATTGGGGCATTTGGGTTGGAATGTTGAAATCACTAATCGGAAAAATAGAAAACCCACATACCTAAGTTGATTGGTACGATAGAAGAATAACTTGCTCTAAAAAACATTCGCTTGAGGAAGCTTTCTAATGAGCTATGGGTACATTCAAGCCTACCGTCTTCTCAAGTTTGC